TGTCCACCCTCATGCTTTAGGTGTGTCTTTGGGCCATCAAGTGCCATTGTTCCACAGGGCTTCACTACTCAGCCTGTCCATAGCAATGCTTAACCACATTCAGAGAAATATTCAGCTTCCATACAGATTACAGATCTACACACACAGAAGCTTCCACACAGACTACAGATTCCTACCTACACACACAGACATTATATACTCACATAAATAGCGTACATAAGATTAACAAACAATAAGCTCCCATTCAATACCCCACATGGCTCCCTTTCATACCAATTTCTGGGGCCAACACCCCCACCTAGGGGTGCAGCAGCGATCTGGCTGCTTCCCTCCAATTCGGTAACGTGACAGCGGCAAGCCCCACTCGCCAGCCGCGTGGTTTGGCATGCTGCGCATGCGCAAACCGCGCTGCGCAGCCGCACTGGGCTATAATCTACTCACTATGGGCAAATAGATTAGCCCATTTATCGAGCCCTGTCCATTGTACACAGACGCAAGTGAGCCCCAGAGAGAATGAAGCTGAACTTTTGAAAGGAAACCCTGCCTACGCCTCAAATGCCAGGAGATCTCTGCTCACGTTTATCTACTACAGAGCTACCTCGGACAAAATACTCAGAGCATCCCCCCCCCCCTCCCCCTGGGCAAAACCCAGCCTGTCACAGAGATTAGCCACAGGTAGGGAAGGACTCCAGAAACTGCACCCTCCTTCCAGCGGCTCAGCCCACTGCCACAAGGGGACCCTGCAGGCACTAAGAGTAGCCAAACCCAGACCCTGATATCTGGTACCTGCTGTTCCTGCCTGAACCCTTCTACTCACACTTCCAGTCAAGGTAGAAGATGGGCAAAATAGGCAGTGAGACCTTAGTTGTGGGCAAAGCAGCACCACTGTTATGACCCTGAATCTGCTTTTTCTGGGAGGGGGCACAGAGGGCACAGTCTTTCACACAAAAGCCAGGATTATTGGGGCAGATACTCATGACATTGTGGGCAAAGGCAATGAATGATCCTGAATCAAACCCAACCCAGCTGCTTCAGAGCCCTCCCAGCTTTTGTTACCCAAAGGGACAGGAATCCTTACTCAGCCAGTTCACAGCCTCATAATTCTCCTGCATCACATCCCCGTAGAGGGCTCTCTGGCCCGGGTCTAGCAGAGCCCATTCTTCCTCAGAGAAATACACAGCCACCTCCTCGAAGCTCACCAGCTCCATCATGGCCATTTCCTGTTCCTGGCTTTGCAGGCCAGGGGCTGAGCTGGAGACAGACATGGGTGTTCCGCAGCCTGGCAAGGGGAGAAGGGGAATTGGAGACATTTTAGATGGGACTTTAATCCTTTCCACACACCCATTCTCCCCAGACTCTGTCCCTAATGACACACGTGTTAGACTCTGCCATTTTAGACAAAAGTTTTAGTCTAGATATTCCATAATCAACACACAGGAGTTAGATCCCAAATCCATATTCATTTCTCTCCATACCAGGCTTGAGTTACAACATTGCTGCGTTTGCCACAATGGGATTTAGTTCTCAGCAGTCAGTGTTTCTGATAACAAGCCACATATTTATCTGCCTGAAGAGGGACATAGGTTAAATGTAGTCTGGTATATTTAAAACCCTTAGTCTTAATTCACAGATTTGCAGCACAAACTGTGCTCTCTCATCTGAGGGAGAGGTTATGAACCCTTTCCATAACAGTGAAGTTAACACCACCATTCAGATGCTTATTATTAAACATGTGTACTTATTATTAAACACGTGTGCTGAGTGTTTGCAGGAAGAGATCTTAAAATTCATGCATTCATGGTATCAGAAGATATCCTTAGTTGTGCAGTCTGACCTCCCTCAGTGGCACAAGCCATTACACTTAGTCCAGTTACCCAGGCACAGAGCTCTGTTTCCCCACAGTGTATTTTCTAGAAAGTCCCCCAGTGATTTGAAGATATCAAGAGATGGAGAATCCACCAGTTCTTTGATAATTTGTTTCAGTAGCTAATCCTCTTGGCTTTCGAACATTTGTGCCTCTTTTATAGTCTGAAATAGTCTGGCTTCAGATTTCACGAATCTGCTCTCACTAAACCTTATCCACTTGACAGGGTGGGCAATTCATTTTGTTGGGGGGCCAAGTGTAAAGTGGCTGAGAGTTGCATTCTTCCATGACATTAATGCAGGAAATGCAGGGTCTGGGATGGGCACTGGAAGGAGGACGATGCTTGGAGTACGGGTTTGAGATGCAGAACGGATAGAGTGGTCTAGGAGGGAGTTTGGGTGAAAAAGGCAGGTTGTGATCTAGGACACTGGATTAGCCAACTACTCGTTAGACATATAACAACTTTAACATAATTTAATTTAGAGAAGTGACTTAGTGGACAAATAAGGAGCTGTGGGTTTCTGATGACTGAGCGCTCTTGCATATTTAGCTGCAGGAGGAGGACAGAGTTTGGGTATGCAGAGTGGGGGGCAAGAGTGGGGAGCAGAGATTAGGAGGGGAAGGGAGAGGTTGGGATGTCAAAAGACTCCCGTCCAGAGCATGCCTATCTGAGTGACTCCCGGTCAGAGGCCAAGCACCTCAGGCAGGCAGGGAGTGTGCCCAGCCCTCTCACAGGCTGCAGGGCCATATCCGGAGGGGAGGGGGCATCATGCTTTGTTTCTGGCCAGAAACTGGCCAATGAGATTGTCCTGGGGGTGGCAGCACCTGAAGCCTTTCCCCTCCCCTCTGGGCTCACAGTCACTTTCTGAGTGACTTGCAGATGGGGAATGGCATCCGTGGGCTGGATCCAATGGCTTGGTGGGGTGGATCCAACCCATGGGCAGTACTTTGCTGAGGCCTGCACTAGACTTAACAGCCCTTGGGGATCCAGCAGTTTCTCACCATGAACAAACTGATACTGTTGAAGCCAGTCCGTTCTCAGCCTTTCATCCCATTTATTGTTTGAAACCAACCCCATACTGAAACTAATTGAGCAGTGAAATCTGAGCCTAAAGGTGCCCTCCTTTAGCATCACAAAGCCATAAACGAGTGTTTCTCCAAGTGTCCACAGATCCCCATGTAGTGCCCCTGGGTCTCCTCATTGATCAGTGGATGAGATTTAGGGCTGAGAGTGCCGTGGTCGCTGGGTTTGGTTGGTAACTTCAATGACAATCCCATGAAGATGTTTTCATAGGAATGTTCTCATCATTTAAAGAATCTCCACTTGCAAACTCACCCTGTCTGTAAGCTCCCAGGGATTTTCTTCTTGCTCTCTCTAGTGCAGAGGGCAGAGTGTCTGGTGGGGGAAGGGATAAGAGAGGTGAGACTCCAGGCTCTCCTATTTATAACACTGTTCCCACTCTGAACTCTGCATTTCAATTGTATCAGAGACCAGACAGAGATGCATTTAGTATGAAAGAGCCTGAAACTTTCATTTCCTTCCTCACTCGGGCACCTCCCAGCTTTGGAGCCAACATCCCTGCAGCCTCACACCCATCCCAGGAGAGAGAAGCTGTAAAAGATTTACTCTTCCCTCCTCACCCTCTCCCATTTGGTTTCTCATTCACTTACTGCCTCTTATCATAACCTGGAGCTGTGGTGGTAGAACACATTGCCATCACGGTAACTTTAGCCATTTTGATCTCTGAACAGGAGGTTCAGAGTTTGCAAACCCCTGGCTCTATCTACACACAGTGGGGTCTGTTCGCTCAATGTCTCTAAGGAGAGCCAAGTGATGGAGCTGTCATTCTCTACGTGGGAATTCAGGCAGGGGAAGGTGGACTACACAGGCCAGATACTTGAACCACTTTCCCCTCATCCATCCTTTCTAGGTACCTTTGAACTCCCTCAAAGTCTCCAACAGCTCAATCGTTTTCTGGGAGAAACCTCTGACTTGTTCTTCCAGTTCAGGGGAAATCTCCTCTGACAGCTGGAATTGCTCCATCTCACACCTGCACAGAAGTAATTTCATGTGATTGTATTTAGTTTACTGCTGATAAGTTCTGGCTAGTAAGTCTCAGCTCTAACAGGCCTGAAGTTAGAATTTCTCCAATTCTCCCAGCCTGAGAGCAGGGGTAACACATCCCATGGCCGTGCAACCTTCCCCTGAAAGGTCCCATTGCTGTTCTTCACTTCTGGCCTGAGGAGACTGGCTGGCGGACTAAAGGGGAATTGAGTCTCCATGACCAATTCACTCCTTGGCTTCCAGGTGCTGAGGGACAGGAGGTTTCCAGGTGTAGGAACCTGTCCACTAGGGACTAGACTGAGATACCAGCTCCCCTGTCCCCAGCTCCTTCCACATAGGTATCCAAACAGCCCTCGGATGGGACAGACTCTTGGTCCCTGCTGCTCTGGGTTGAATGGCGATCAGTGGCCAACAGCGATAGGCCCATTTTCCATCCCACAGACTTGAGGCAGCCAATCCCCAGGGAGGCGACAGTTCCAGGAAACATTTGAGGTGAGACTGTGCGCTGAATGGGGAATTCCAGAGTCTGTGCGAGGATGAGACCCTCAGAATTAAATGAGTCAGAGACATTTGCATCTAACATCTGGCTGTAGGACTCTGGGGAGATGTGGTGCTAACATCAGCTCCAAGCCCTTTCCCTGCGCTGTGTAATGTGAGGGGATTGAGAGCCACATACCTACTCAGGGTGCTTCTTACATCCTAGGAAAAAGAGACAGAAAAGAATCTCAGGCCTATTGAACACACACAAGGGGATGTCACGGAAGGGATTTTGCAAACCTGGGACCTCAGGGAAGGAATTTTGCAAACATGGGAAGAGAGGCCCTGCACTGGCCCCAGGAACATGGATCCCTTTGAGCGAATGGGGCTTTGCCATTACTAATAGCTCTGTACCTGTAACTCTACAAAGCAAAAAAGTCATTCACATAGCAGCAATGCACATAGAGTTACACCGAGATCTGACAGCTGGAACCCAGCACTTCTGATTCAGGAGCCTCCCTTCCCTGTGTGGGGAGCTGGGACATTTCTCCCTCAGTCTCACCTGCAGGAATTCATTTGCTGGCTTCTGACACTTCCCCTCCAGCTCACCAATCAGCTCACTGATACGGGAAATCTGCACAGAGAGTTTCCAGACAGTGTCAGTCTGGAGCCTCCCAATCTCCTCATCCAGCTTCTTCAGCTGGACTAGGAGGAGTTGCTCTTGTTCCTCCAGGAACTGCCACTGCTGAAACTTGGCCACAATTATCTGCCTCTCCACTTGGGTCCATTTCTGTATGAAAACAGGGAAAGGGCTGGTCAGGGGCATGGATGGAGTCCAGGGCCCTTTCATGGGGAGTTGAGTGCGTAGCAGGGAGAATTTCTTGGAAAACCCTAAAATTTGTGACATTGGTTACTAGGCAGAGGCGTCTCTCCCAGCATCTCCTTTGGCCCGTGTCCCTCTGAAATGGATGTTCCTATCTCTGTCACGGGCAGCATCTTCTGTTATTCATGGGCTCTGGGAATTCAGACCCAGAGCAACAGGAGGCAGGACTCAGCACCAGCCTGACAAAGATACTCAGGAAGGAAAAAGAAAAAAAACACGTTAATACACCAAGTGAGTAGACAGCCCTTCAGGGGGACATTCAGCTCCCTTGTGGAGGATGTCTGGGAAAGCCACAAAGGCTGGACATTAACTTGTGCACTGACATGGATGCTCAGGGCCTGTCTACACATGGATTTCATGCAGCAATCTATGATCCAGAAGAAACACAAACAAACCCAATCTCACCAAGGCCACACAGGATTCTGCCTCCTAACACAGCCCTCCCACTGCTGGTCCATAGCCACAGGCACCTACCAGATACTCCTGGCTTTTCCCTTCTGCTGTTGTTTTCCTTCCCAGCACCTTTTCTCTCTCTTCCCTCAGAGTCTTCAAATGGGCCTCCAATTTTTCCTGAAGAAACAGAAATAAGCACGAGGGCAAACTACATCAGATGTTGGGAGTCCATTTGTCTGCCTTTAAGAGAGTCCCAGTTTTGTGGAGCTCTCTCCCTGTACAGCAGGGACTCAGCCCTGGACATGGCTTTGTCCACAAAAAAAGAGACAGGAGGAGACTGCTGATAGCAGGACACCTGTGAGGGTGGGGGACAGGTCGGTGGTGGCACCTTTGTAAAGAATGATGCAACTGGCGATTAGGGAGGTAAAAATGCTTAACAATACTAATCATGTAACTGATTACAATTTTATCAGGGACAGTATTTTTTAACCTGCTGACAGCCAGGGCTGGTATCAGAAATGGGCTCTCCTGGGTCCGGGGATCTCTTGCGAGGTCTGCCGGGGGTGGCCACAAGAACAGCTGGCCGATGGGAACTCCCAGCAGCTGCAGACTGATGTTAGCTGCCAGAGGGAAGCAGGCACTGCTGGGGAGTTTAACCAGTAATTGGCATCGATAAAGATTAGCTCATCTGTTAACCCGTTTGAACTCTTGCTACAATCCAGTTGAATCCGAGTTGTGCCCGACATGGGCCTGCACTTCCTGAAGCCCTGCTATGGGTGGGCTAGGGCTTTATTAAGGCATCTTTCCCTCCTAAGGACCATACTTCATCACTGTTCAGTGATACTGAGGGACAGGGAGCAGTGCAGTCTAACAGTTGGACCAGGGTTCGCAGCTAAACCCTATTTCTGACATGCTTGGCAACTATGAGCAACTTGCTGCCCCACCTCCCCTTCCTACAGTTTGTCTAACTGGACAGTGACCTGCTCAGATCAGGGACTTTCCCTTGCTGGGTGTTGTGCAGGTTCCAGATTGCCATTGCGGATCTACAAGGCAAATGACAGATTATTATTCCTGTTCTTCCAATCAGTAATGGCTTGTCACCTCCTCTTCTCCAGTCCCAAGGCAGCTCACTGACAGAGTGGCCTGTAGCTCCTGTGATCTAAACCTCTCTGATTGTTAACACCTTCCTTTGCGCAAACACCCCTGTCACCAGTGAGGGCTGGGTTTCAGGATTCAGAGCCTCAGAGAAACATTTCCCACATTAGGTATCTGTAAAGACTTGACATAAGTTGCCACATAGCCAGAACATTTATTTTTTACAGCATCTTTTGTAGGCTTTACAGAGCCGTGTCACACCTGTGCCCAGTAACAGTCAGTGAAATTAGCCTGTAATTAAAATACACTGGACAGTAACTCTGTACCTTGTACTCCTGGGCAGCTTCCTGTACAGGCACCACTGTGTGATCCTGGGATCTGTCATACACCACACAGATTGGAGTTTGATCTTCACAGAACAGCTTCAGAGCCTCCTGTTGCTCCCTGCACACCCCATCCCATCTTGCTTTCTTTGCTGCCTGGAAACTCAGGGGCTTGGCTAGTTCCACCACATTTGCCAGCTGCAGATTGGAACGGAGGGGTCCCTGCTGCTCAGTGTCTCTGCCCTGAGGGCTGAGGGGGGCCTGGCAGAAATTGTGCCCGCACTCTAGAGTGACTGGGGCTGTGAAATCCTCCAGACAGACGGGACGCGGCGCTTCCTCCCAGAGACTTTGCATGGGGCTCTCTGCAGCCATGGCTGCCTCCGGGCTGGGGAACAGGGGCCTTGTCACTTTCCTGAGCTCAGCAATGGAGGGGCAAGTCCAGAGGGCATGTGCGTGAAGTACCAGCACTGAGGATTAAAAACATCAAAATTAAAAACCAAGAAGCCCCAAGCTTTGCTCGCCCACTATCCCCTCCACTGGGCCCGCTCAGCCACCTGCCCCAGCCAGAATCACTCCCGTCTCTGTGCCTTCATGCCAGGGCCCCTCCTAACCCGGTGTTCAAATCACTCCCCCCACCTCTGCAGCCCCCTCACAGACCCTCTGTGCGACCCCGGCCCGAACCCCATACTGAAACTAATTGAGCAGTGAAATCTGAGCCTAAAGGTGCCCTCCTTTAGCATCACAAAGCCATAAACGAGTGTTTCTCCAAGTGTCCACAGATCCCCATGTAGTGCCCCTGGGTCTCCTCATTGATCAGTGGATGAGATTTAGGGCTGAGAGTGCCGTGGTCGCTGGGTTTGGTTGGTAACTTCAATGACAATCCCATGAAGATGTTTTCATAGGAATGTTCTCATCATTTAAAGAATCTCCACTTGCAAACTCACCCTGTCTGTAAGCTCCCAGGGATTTTCTTCTTGCTCTCTCTAGTGCAGAGGGCAGAGTGTCTGGTGGGGGAAGGGATAAGAGAGGTGAGACTCCAGGCTCTCCTATTTATAACACTGTTCCCACTCTGAACTCTGCATTTCAATTGTATCAGAGACCAGACAGAGATGCACTCAGGAATTTAGTATGAAAGAGCCTGAAACTTTCATTTCCTTCCTCACTCGGGCACCTCCCAGCTTTGGAGCCAACATCCCTGCAGCCTCACACCCATCCCAGGAGAGAGAAGCTGTAAAAGATTTACTCTTCCCTCCTCACCCTCTCCCATTTGGTTTCTCATTCACTTACTGCCTCTTATCATAACCTGGAGCTGTGGTGGTAGAACACATTGCCATCACGGTAACTTTAGCCATTTTGATCTCTGAACAGGAGGTTCAGAGTTTGCAAACCCCTGGCTCTATCTACACACAGTGGGGTCTGTTCGCTCAATGTCTCTTAGGAGAGCCAAGTGATGGAGCTGTCATTCTCTACGTGGGAATTCAGGCAGGGGAAGGTGGACTACACAGGCCAGATACTTGAACCACTTTCCCCTCATCCATCCTTTCTAGGTACCTTTGAACTCCCTCAAAGTCTCCAACAGCTCAATCGTTTTCTGGGAGAAACCTCTGACTTGTTCTTCCAGTTCAGGGGAAATCTCCTCTGACAGCTGGAATTGCTCCATCTCACACCTGCACAGAAGTAATTTCATGTGATTGTATTTAGTTTACTGCTGATAAGTTCTGGCTAGTAAGTCTCAGCTCTAACAGGCCTGAAGTTAGAATTTCTCCAATTCTCCCAGCCTGAGAGCAGGGGTAACACATCCCATGGCCGTGCAACCTTCCCCTGAAAGGTCCCATTGCTGTTCTTCACTTCTGGCCTGAGGAGACTGGCTGGCGGACTAAAGGGGAATTGAGTCTCCATGACCAATTCACTCCTTGGCTTCCAGGTGCTGAGGGACAGGAGGTTTCCAGGTGTAGGAACCTGTCCACTAGGGACTAGACTGAGATACCAGCTCCCCTGTCCCCAGCTCCTTCCACATAGGTATCCAAACAGCCCTCGGATGGGACAGACTCTTGGTCCCTGCTGCTCTGGGTTGAATGGCGATCAGTGGCCAACAGCGATAGGCCCATTTTCCATCCCACAGACTTGAGGCAGCCAATCCCCAGGGAGGCGACAGTTCCAGGAAACATTTGAGGTGAGACTGTGCGCTGAATGGGGAATTCCAGAGTCTGTGCGAGGATGAGACCCTCAGAATTAAATGAGTCAGAGACATTTGCATCTAACATCTGGCTGTAGGACTCTGGGGAGATGTGGTGCTAACATCAGCTCCAAGCCCTTTCCCTGCGCTGTGTAATGTGAGGGGATTGAGAGCCACATACCTACTCAGGGTGCTTCTTACATCCTAGGAAAAAGAGACAGAAAAGAATCTCAGGCCTATTGAACACACACAAGGGGATGTCACGGAAGGGATTTTGCAAACCTGGGACCTCAGGGAAGGAATTTTGCAAACATGGGAAGAGAGGCCCTGCACTGGCCCCAGGAACATGGATCCCTTTGAGCGAATGGGGCTTTGCCATTACTAATAGCTCTGTACCTGTAACTCTACAAAGCAAAAAAGTCATTCACATAGCAGCAATGCACATAGAGTTACACCGAGATCTGACAGCTGGAACCCAGCACTTCTGATTCAGGAGCCTCCCTTCCCTGTGTGGGGAGCTGGGACATTTCTCCCTCAGTCTCACCTGCAGGAATTCATTTGCTGGCTTCTGACACTTCCCCTCCAGCTCACCAATCAGCTCACTGATACGGGAAATCTGCACAGAGAGTTTCCAGACAGTGTCAGTCTGGAGCCTCCCAATCTCCTCATCCAGCTTCTTCAGCTGGACTAGGAGGAGTTGCTCTTGTTCCTCCAGGAACTGCCACTGCTGAAACTTGGCCACAATTATCTGCCTCTCCACTTGGGTCCATTTCTGTATGAAAACAGGGAAAGGGCTGGTCAGGGGCATGGATGGAGTCCAGGGCCCTTTCATGGGGAGTTGAGTGCGTAGCAGGGAGAATTTCTTGGAAAACCCTAAAATTTGTGACATTGGTTACTAGGCAGAGGCGTCTCTCCCAGCATCTCCTTTGGCCCGTGTCCCTCTGAAATGGATGTTCCTATCTCTGTCACGGGCAGCATCTTCTGTTATTCATGGGCTCTGGGAATTCAGACCCAGAGCAACAGGAGGCAGGACTCAGCACCAGCCTGACAAAGATACTCAGGAAGGAAAAAGAAAAAAAACACGTTAATACACCAAGTGAGTAGACAGCCCTTCAGGGGGACATTCAGCTCCCTTGTGGAGGATGTCTGGGAAAGCCACAAAGGCTGGACATTAACTTGTGCACTGACATGGATGCTCAGGGCCTGTCTACACATGGATTTCATGCAGCAATCTATGATCCAGAAGAAACACAAACAAACCCAATCTCACCAAGGCCACACAGGATTCTGCCTCCTAACACAGCCCTCCCACTGCTGGTCCATAGCCACAGGCACCTACCAGATACTCCTGGCTTTTCCCTTCTGCTGTTGTTTTCCTTCCCAGCACCTTTTCTCTCTCTTCCCTCAGAGTCTTCAAATGGGCCTCCAATTTTTCCTGAAGAAACAGAAATAAGCACGAGGGCAAACTACATCAGATGTTGGGAGTCCATTTGTCTGCCTTTAAGAGAGTCCCAGTTTTGTGGAGCTCTCTCCCTGTACAGCAGGGACTCAGCCCTGGACATGGCTTTGTCCACAAAAAAAGAGACAGGAGGAGACTGCTGATAGCAGGACACCTGTGAGGGTGGGGGACAGGTCGGTGGTGGCACCTTTGTAAAGAATGATGCAACTGGCGATTAGGGAGGTAAAAATGCTTAACAATACTAATCATGTAACTGATTACAATTTTATCAGGGACAGTATTTTTTAACCTGCTGACAGCCAGGGCTGGTATCAGAAATGGGCTCTCCTGGGTCTGGGGATCTCTTGCGAGGTCTGCCGGGGGTGGCCACAAGAACAGCTGGCCGATGGGAACTCCCAGCAGCTGCAGACTGATGTTAGCTGCCAGAGGGAAGCAGGCACTGCTGGGGAGTTTAACCAGTAATTGGCATCGATAAAGATTAGCTCATCTGTTAACCCGTTTGAACTCTTGCTACAATCCAGTTGAATCCGAGTTGTGCCCGACATGGGCCTGCACTTCCTGAAGCCCTGCTATGGGTGGGCTAGGGCTTTATTAAGGCATCTTTCCCTCCTAAGGACCATACTTCATCACTGTTCAGTGATACTGAGGGACAGGGAGCAGTGCAGTCTAACAGTTGGACCAGGGTTCGCAGCTAAACCCTATTTCTGACATGCTTGGCAACTATGAGCAACTTGCTGCCCCACCTCCCCTTCCTACAGTTTGTCTAACTGGACAGTGACCTGCTCAGATCAGGGACTTTCCCTTGCTGGGTGTTGTGCAGGTTCCAGATTGCCATTGCGGATCTACAAGGCAAATGACAGATTATTATTCCTGTTCTTCCAATCAGTAATGGCTTGTCACCTCCTCTTCTCCAGTCCCAAGGCAGCTCACTGACAGAGTGGCCTGTAGCTCCTGTGATCTAAACCTCTCTGATTGTTAACACCTTCCTTTGCGCAAACACCCCTGTCACCAGTGAGGGCTGGGTTTCAGGATTCAGAGCCTCAGAGAAACATTTCCCACATTAGGTATCTGTAAAGACTTGACATAAGTTGCCACATAGCCAGAACATTTATTTTTTACAGCATCTTTTGTAGGCTTTACAGAGCCGTGTCACACCTGTGCCCAGTAACAGTCAGTGAAATTAGCCTGTAATTAAAATACACTGGACAGTAACTCTGTACCTTGTACTCCTGGGCAGCTTCCTGTACAGGCACCACTGTGTGATCCTGGGATCTGTCATACACCACACAGATTGGAGTTTGATCTTCACAGAACAGCTTCAGAGCCTCCTGTTGCTCCCTGCACACCCCATCCCATCTTGCTTTCTTTGCTGCCTGGAAACTCAGGGGCTTGGCTAGTTCCACCACATTTGCCAGCTGCAGATTGGAACGGAGGGGTCCCTGCTGCTCAGTGTCTCTGCCCTGAGGGCTGAGGGGGGCCTGGCAGAAATTGTGCCCGCACTCTAGAGTGACTGGGGCTGTGAAATCCTCCAGACAGACGGGACGCGGCGCTTCCTCCCAGAGACTTTGCATGGGGCTCTCTGCAGCCATGGCTGCCTCCGGGCTGGGGAACAGGGGCCTTGTCACTTTCCTGAGCTCAGCAATGGAGGGGCAAGTCCAGAGGGCATGTGCGTGAAGTACCAGCACTGAGGATTAAAAACATCAAAATTAAAAACCAAGAAGCCCCAAGCTTTGCTCGCCCACTATCCCCTCCACTGGGCCCGCTCAGCCACCTGCCCCAGCCAGAATCACTCCCGTCTCTGTGCCTTCATGCCAGGGCCCCTCCTAACCCGGTGTTCAAATCACTCCCCCCACCTCTGCAGCCCCCTCACAGACCCTCTGTGCGACCCCGGCCCGCGCCAAGCGCTCAGCCGCCCCTTCAGCCGAGTCGGAGCA